GTCCCCTCGTTATAAGATTTAAAATTCAGTACTCAGACTGTTGGCATTTTAAACTAACTAAATTAATATAGAGAATCCAGGGGAAATGTCAAAATATCAGAAGCAAAATTTGAAAAAACTGAAACATACTGTAAACTGCATGATTCGAACTTTAATAAATCCAAACAGAAAAAAATGAGCTCAGTCCTGGTTATCCTTAAAGAAAGGAGATATAAAGAGGTCTTGATTATGTGGGGGATGTATCCCAATGGGGTGTTGGAGCCTGCAGCTGCATATGGTACAGTAGGTAAGCTACATGCTAAGATCCATGTGTAGAAAATGAAAACATCTACCAGTGTTAAACTGTGAAAACAAAGAATGAGGGTTTAGAAATATGAACCTGCGACTTTAAAAAGGAGCATATTATTACGAACCATGCAGCTGCTGACAGTACAAGTTACCATCAAGCCCAGTGTAATTACACTTCACAAGCTTGTTTAATAAATGCTTGTTAACAAGGTGCTCAGGATGCCAGTGTTAGGGGCCACTAGGTAAAATGGTGCCCAGCTCAGAGTGACCTCAGTAAAAAGCCACCTGAGAAGAAATGTAGAATAAAAGTTTGTCACTGGATATCATCACTGGAAAAGTTATGCTGGATGCTGATGATGTCATCAGAGGTGTGTGTGCATACATAACACTCCCACAAGGGCAACTACGTCTCGTGCTTCACGTGGCTGTAAACACAAGCACGGCCTCGCTGTTGTGTTTTCTCTGAAATTACATCAACGGCTCGGCCTCTGGGTACCGCGACCCGACGGTCTGTAGGAAAACCGCGGCCGAATGACTTCTGGAGAGGAAATGCCATCCTCAGTTAGTCTGAAGTGTCATTTTACGGCGGAACTTCCAGAAAGCACGAAAGCCCCCCCGGCGGCAGAAGCGTTTTCCCAGCCCATTAAAATGCATATTTGATCATTCGCTCTACTGGGAGGAGAAGGTGCGGCACAGGTTGACCTTCCACACTGAGATACATTCATTTCAAAAGGTCGAAGGAATGGCTACTGGCCCTGTGACAGGAACCTCAGTCTTCACACACCTGCAAGAGAGGGGAGGGAGAAAAGCGACACAAATGGACCCTACAAAAAAACAGAGCCGATCGACAGCTGGAGGAAAGCAAACCTTTTAACCAGGTCCTTGAAATACAAGCTGCAGGAAGCTAGAACATTTTGGTGGACTTCAAACTCTTTGCCTTCAACAATAATTTTCAGGTCTGTAAACTCTTTCGCTCTGCGCTGCTGGTTCAATTCCTTCAACATCTCTGTAGAACAAAGAAACAAAAGAAACAGACATTGCCATGTTTCCGCTTTTGAAGATTCGTAACACAGACATTAGAGATAACAGTGGACATCAGCGTGTACACAGGAAGAAATGGGAAAAATGTATCTGCACCCACGTCCTTAAACAACATGCACACAGACACATTCAGTTCAGTGTTTCAGATGTTCATTAATATGGAATTAAAGACTGCAAAGCATAAACAAACCCAACAATTAGAACAATATAAAGTAAGGAATTGTAATTATATATTGCAACTAGTATCAGTAAATTTGGGAAGTCATAACATCATTAGCAGCACATAAAGCATGTAGATCAATGTTGGTGATTGAAACTGAAGCCCATTTGGATTATTGCCCATATTTTGTGTCTGGTGTCCACACAGGTGTGATTGACCTATTTTGTTAATTAAGAGATGACAGGAAAACATGATTAATTGGAGTTAAAATTCACACCTTAATCCAAATCATTGACCAAAACCAAAAAAACAAACAAACAAAAAAAACCCTCCAAAACTCCCATACTCCCAATCTTGGAATTTCCATGACTTTTATCCACTTAAAAACTTTTTTTTTCCCGAGTTTGGAATTTTGATCCAAGGCATTCAAGGACATCTAGATAAAAACAGCCCCCATTTCCTTTTTTTGGGTCCTGTGTAATACCGTTCTGAGGTTATTTCTGGAGAAGGATGAAAAGCAAAGCACAAAAGAGACAAAAGAACTATCTCTCTCCCTCTCTCTCTCCCTCTCTCTCTCTCCCTCTCTCTCCCACCCACTCTCCCCCCTCTCCCTCTCTCTCCCCCCTCTCCCTCCCTCCAGAACACACACACACACACACACACACACAATGACTTACTGTATGTATGCCTCCATAACATACACAATCTGACTCCCATGCAATAGTGGTGTCCACCACCACTCAAACCACATATTTGGGAGGGGGCCCGAGTTTGGAGGCCCGCTGTTGGCCACATACAGTTACTACACTAAAGGCTTATGAGTGGTTTGAGTGGGACCCCAGTAACCCGCCACTGCTCCCATGAACAGGAAAGCTGCTCTCCTGACAGCCTCTCTCCATGCACAATAGTAATGGGCCTTTGGAGGAACATCAGAAAACAACTGTTCCATGCTTTCAGTCCTGTTTTTCCTGCTGTTATTTTAGTCAGCTATTATGGGGCCAGTGAAGGGTAACTAATGAACAAGTCAGACTCATGTTCTTAGCAGATTACTCAAAACAACAATGACAAATAAAAATCCGTGTGCAGCATATGTGAATAAGTGCTGTCCAATGAAGAAATGTTAACCAAGTGAAACAGGGCACTGTTGTTCAACCTGGGAACCTGTGAGTTTCAAAAGAGACTTAATCTAAGAAGGATCGGGGTGATACAGCTTTGGCTTAAGTTTTTAACCCAAATTTTTTTTTTCACACATCAGTCACCCTGTTAGGACTCTCTCCAGCCTTTGTGAACTGAAGACTGTGAAAGCAGCTCGCAGGATTTTACAGGATCCCTCACACGTCCTGTTCCCCGTGTCTGAGTGGCTCCCTTCAGGACACAGGCTTTGCTGTCCAGGTAGGAGAAGGGCCACCTTTGTCCCCAGGGGTGTCCAGCTCCTCAACTCTCAACATTGGAGATTCGGCAAGTAACAGAACTTTTAATGAAACTTTTTAACTGGAACTGTTAGAACACATAGCATTAATGCCTTTTATGTGTGCATGTCCTTTAATTCTAAATTTATTGTTATGTGTGAATGGTCGCTGTTCTACTCCATGTGCCTTTTTAATTGCCCCTTGGGAATACATAAAATCATTTGAATTGAACTGAATTCTTTCATATACAGTTCAATATTACACCAGAGCAATTCAGATAAGGTACCTGATGATGCAATAGAGAAATCACTCCTGGGACTTGATCCAACAAACTTCAGCATGCAGGTCAATGCCCTTAATCCCCAAACTGCCAAACACACCGCAACCAAATGTCATGTGTAATAATTTCTAACAAAGCCTCCTGTGAATTATCACTGTAGGTGAAACATCATAGCTGTCATCGTAAATTTATCTCAGCGTGTTCAGCAATGTTGGGAAATGGTCAGTGCTCTTGCATGTCTGTTAAATGAGTCTGCTTTTGAGATTTTTCAAATTATAATACCACAACTGTGTCAGATGCATCTTTAATTACAGGCCACGGGCCCTCAGCTCCTCTGTTGTTTACTTCTCATGTGTGTGTGTGTATTTTTTCAATATTAGTCATACATTCTCATTAACTTTATTTTAGCTCAGTTGCTGTAAGTTTTGGTGCTTTACTTACAAGTCAGTTGCGATTTGTTGATTTTGTCAGCAGGGTATATATATAAATATGAAGCCACATAAATGGAACTATAAAATTTAATTATATTTTTATTCATTGTGTGATTTTCATTTTTCTTCTGCTGGTTTTGTCTTTTATCCTTGTAAAATGTTTTAAGCTTAAACGACTATTCAGATTTCTTGAACTAGTAGTTATATATTTTTTAAAGTATGTTGAAGATGAAGGCACTTGTAAATTTAATTTCTATTAAATCTCACAAACGCAGATTTCACTTCAAGAACTGACAGGGTTCCAACAGGTATTGGGACACCTGCTTTTACACACACATGAACTTTAATGACATCTTACTACATAGGCTGTAATATGGCGTTTGCCCACCCTTTGCAGCTATAACAGCTTCAACTCTTCTGGGAAGGCTGTCCACAAGGTTTAGGAGTGTGTTTATGGAAGTTTTGACTATTCTTCCATTTGTGAGGTCAGGCACTGATGTAGGACGAGAAGGCCTGGCTCACAGTCTCCGCTGTAATTCATCCCAAAGCTGTTCTGTCGGGTTGAGGTCAGGGCTCTGTGCAGGACAGTTAAGTTCCTCCACACCAGACTCTCTCATCCATGTCCTTATGGACCTTGCTTTGTGCACTGGTGCACAGTCATTTTGGAATGGGATGGGACCATCCCCAAACTGTTCCCTCAAAGTTGGGAGCATGAAATCGTCCAAAATGGCTTTGAATGCTGCAGCATTAAGATTTTTTTTTTCACTGGAACTAAGGGACCAAGCTCAACCCCTGAAAAACAACCCCACACCATATTCCCCCCTCCACCAAACTTTACACTTGGCACAATGCAGTCAGGCAAGTAATGTTCTCCTGGCAACCACCAAACCCAGACTCATCCATCGGATCACTCCAGAGAACACGTCTCCACTGCTCTAGAGTCCAGTGATGGCATGCTTTACACCACTGCATCCGACGCTTTGCAGTGCACTTGGTGATATAAGGCTTGGATGCAGCTGCTCGGCCATGGAAACCCATTCCATGAAGTTCTCTACGCACTGTTCTTGAACTAATCTGAAGGCCACAGAAAGTTTGCAGGTCTGTAGCTATTGACTCTGCACACTGTGTGCCTCAGCATGCGTTGTCCCCGCTCTGTGATTTTACGTGGCCTAGCTACCACTTCATGGCTGAGTTGCTGTTGTTCCTAATTTGTTTCTACTTTGTTATTATGCCACTAACAGTTGACCGTAGAATATTTAGTAGTGAGGAAATTTCACGACTAAACTAATTGCACAGGTGGCATCCTATCACGGTACCACGCTTGAATTCACTGAGCTCCTGAGAGTGACCCATTCTTTCACAATTGTTTGTAGAAGCAGTCTGCATGCCTAGCTGCTTGATTTTATACACCCTTGACTATGGAAGTGATTGGAACACCTGAATTCAATGATGTGGAGGGGTGTCCCAATATAGTCTATCTTTAACAAAATCTCATTCAATTCCTGTCTAATTAACACAAAATAGATCTGCCCTGGTCATTTGAAAGGAATCCAGAGTTAGTTTCTATCTAGAGCGGCACAGAACAGTAATGAGCTGCATGGGAATCACCGTTCATCAACAGGTCACAAGCAAAGCGAAGACAGAACCCAGCCTTGTTCAGAAGAGCTCAAAATAAAGTGAATAAATGTTCCCCCTAAAGCACTGTATCACTGGGTTAGCAGTTATCTCATGGATTTGGCTTTGGGGCAACCTATGGCTTAAATAATATGGTGATTATTCAATATTTTCTATTATTAATAATGCACATTTACTGAACTCTATAAAATGTGAGTCTGGCTGTTGACTGAAAAGGAGAGGCAGCTTTCTGAATTAAGATCAGTGTTTGGAGTAATTGTTCCCTCACAGTATATGCCTAAAACAGTACTGCAATATGTAGTATTGTCTATCGATAAGCTGATCAACGAATCTTGTTGCGGGTTGGCTAGTCTGATTTATGGAGGTTCCCTTCAGCATGATGAACTGACAGATTTAACTCAAATTCTTTTTTTTACATTTATATTTGTTTATCCAGTCTCAGATATTACATTACACGCATTCAGCCGTCAACAAGGTAAACAGGCAAGAGAGCAGCAAGGGTTAGCTTCCAGTGAATGCCCAGTAACTGTGAGTTAAGATCAGAGCAAGAGCTACACAATGTTACGAAAACGTGACAAGAACCTGACAAGAAAGGCATTCAAATCAAAGACAAAGTCAAGTGCAAAAATACAAGAGCATCGAGGATACACAAGGTCATAATAGTCTCTTTTATTTCCAACGTGACTCTACATTAAACTTCAAATTCAATTTGTCATAATGGTGACTCAGGCCTGCGTCAGCCTACAGCAAGAGGCTCTTAGCTTATTTATTCATTCAAGGCTGGGGGTTCAGGGGATTGACAAGTTTTACCACCAAACCCTCCACCCCCCACCATCTGTGAAATTTCGATATCAAACGTAGATACCTTTGCATACTACGTTCTTAACCAGCATCTTTTTGGGAAACTGTCTTTGGAGTAATGACTAGCGGAGAAGAGAGTTTATATGAATATGCTTTGACATTCACTTGAAAAAACGTTGAACTCATCAGAAGGGATATCAAATGGCATCATGTGGATGCCAATGGATGTGTTTATGGAGCTGGCGAATT